AAAAAAAAAAAAAAGAAAAAAGAAAAAGAAAAGAGCATAGGAAAAAAAGATCAAGATCTTATTTAACAAATGGGCATTGCATAAAAATAAAATATTGGTAGGACAAGGTAGCAAACCTGTAATCCCAACACTTTGGGAGGCCCAGGCAGAAGGCCAGGAGTTTGAAACCAGCTTGGGCAACATAGCAAGACCCTGTCTCTACAAAAAAAAATTTTGAATTAGCCAAGTATGGTGGTGTATACCTGTAGTTTCAGCTGTTCTGGAGGCTAGCATGGGAGGATCTCTTGAGCCCAGGAGTTGGAGACTACAGTAAATTTTGGTCATACCCGGGCACTCCAGCCTGCTCAGAGCAAGACCCTGTCTCTAAAAAAAAAAAAGAAAAGAAAAAGAAAAGAAAATTATCCGAAGAAGAAATGTAAATTGTAAATAAATAACCAACCTTACTAATAAGATACAAAAAGAATTCTGAGATAATATTTTATACCTATTATAAGAGTAAAACTAAATTTATAAGTCAGACAGTTTATTGTGAATATGTTTATAAAACTCTTCTTGAGGGCAGTGCCTGTGGCTCAAGGAGTAGGGCCCCGGCCCCATATACTGGAGGTGGCGGGTTCAAACCCAGCCCTGGCCAAAAAAAAAAAGCTCTTCTTGAAAGGTGGTGTTTATATTTTGGTTTAAGACAACTGAATGACCTGGAGAAGAAGATGTCTGAAAGAACAAGGATGAGACTATAGGAATGAGAATGGTACTGGAAGTCTAGGCTACTAAGGCAAGCTCCCTCAGTTTACTGTTTTGTTTAGTTTGTTTTGTTTGTCTCTTTAGACTGAACAACTATTTTCCTATCCGGGGAAACTAAAACTTAGGGGTATTTGAAGTCTCCCTTTTCCCATTCCCTGAGCATAACAGCATTAGGAACCCAGCAATAGTAGTGAGAAGCAGGCAACAGAGCAGATAAAGCCAAACAAGATTCCATAACCAGAGTTTGCAACAGAGGAAATAAAGCCAAACAAGATTCCATAGCCAGGATGCTGGCGGCGTCCTACTTGGGCTATAGTTCCAGCTGCATGGCCTCCATTTGCTCCCATCCTTTCCCCAGGCTTTGCATGGATATTCATGTTCTCTCTCTTTCTCTCTCCCTCTCACTGTGGTTATGACGAAATATATATTGATTCCTCGAGCTAGCTGATATCCTTCTAGCTAATTTCTTTTCTGGGTGAGTCAGAGTGCATTTCTATTACTCACAAAGCACTCTGAACTCCATGTCACAGTTTTGAGTAGAAGCAGGTCCTATTTATGAGGACAGTTTTCCAAATGGTGTGGCATTTTTCCATATCTGAACAAATAAATTAAACATTCCTTCTAATCTATTTCATTTTCTACTGGTGAACACAAGTTGACTGGGGTTTCTTGCCCTCCCCTTCCTTTCCTCTTTTACCTACTAAGGATGGAGATTGTTTTATTTTAAGTAAATTATTTCACGGTAATTTTTTAATTTTATTTTTATTTTGCTTTAAAATACCAAAATTATTTAAGAATTATTTGTTACAGTGTTATTCCTTAATATTCACCTCTCCATTTAAAAAAAATAATAATGGGAGGGGGAATGGGTGGAGGGAGGGGGATTGGAGGGATCACTTCTGAGGTTTATCTTACAAGGGTACAAGTGAATCTTTCTAAGAGTAGAATGTGAACGTTTTAAAATAATAACTGGCTCAGCACCTATAGCTCAACCAGCTAAGGCGCCAGCCACATACACCTAAGGTGGTGGGTTCGAATCCCCAGCCCGGACC